GTACAAACCCATACTCTCATTAGAGAGGATGTTACATAAGGTCTACAACCTGAAGGGTTCAGCCGGCGGGAAGAAAAAAAGAGAGAGAGAAAAAACACACACAAAGCCACAACAGCAACTCCAGTCCTGAATCCCATGGGGCTTGGCACCAAGACGAAGTGACTGGCAGTAAACCACAAGTTGTAAAGTAATGCTGGCTCTCACTCTGACAATTTGTAAAGTGTGTAGATTAGTTATAGCGTTATAACTATTTGTAGCTATGAGTAATAAATGTTTAATGAATCCAGTTACCAATCCAAACCCTGTGTCTGGTCATGAACACACAAAAATGTAAATGTACCCTAGTAATACTATATAGCAGACCCTTGATTACCCACTTTTAGGTTAACCACAGAACTTCTAGAATCCATCAGTTATTGTTCACAGCTTTCTGCACTGAGTTAAGTTTCGCCCATTAAAATATATTATTCAGTAACATGTATGAGAGATGCTTCACAGTGATTTACAGTGGACTCTACATCTTCTCACTGTGCTGCAACTTTATTCTATTTTATCGCATTTTGCACTGGCCTATCACCACCGAACAAGGGATGTTTTCTTCCATTACAAAGAAATGGTTACTATTTAAAGACAGTAACAAGATTCGTAATTAATGAATGATTTTCAGATTTTAACACAGCATGAGTAATGGCCATTTCAAGATTCCTTGGATTATTCATGTTTTTAATTATCTGTGCTACTTCTCTCATCCATTAATATGGATAATGGAGGGTGCAATAAACTGGGGGGGGGGGAAGTGCAGATTTAACACAAAGGTAANAATATTGTTGTCACTTCATTCTACATGTTTTGACTGCAAAGTAGTCGATCACCAGGTAGAATTATAAGTTTGCCATGGACAATGAAAGTGCATTTAGAAGGACAATTAAATGTAAAATAAGAATATAGGACCCATACAAGAAAACCTGTCCTAACAATATTGTAGAAACATCCAAGAAAACTTAAGTGATGCACTGTCTATTACAAGACAGGCACTATTTATCAATACATATTGTGATGTATTGCGGTATGGAGGAAATCCCCTCCCCCGCCAGCGGTGACTTAACAACATCGGGCGATGTTGCTACTACGGTAACAGGCCAATCAACATTCCGCCTCCCCCCTGCGGTGACATAGCGGGGGATGCCGCGGTTGCTATGTAGCAGTAAACAGCTCTTGACAGCATTCCCAGCAACACCTGTAAACACGGCGACTAGGCAACAAGGATGCGAGGCGTTTTTCCGTTGTCTGGCTGAGGGTTTATAAGAGAACTGCACTGCCTAAGGAATCAGTATTACAGACAGTGGACTTAGTACTACAGACTGACTGACAAATGACAGACCTGACCTCTCGCCAGAGAGGGCGCTACACATGGACAAGACAGTAACTTTCATTCAAAAGAAATATCTGGTCATGAGCCCCAGCTGGGGCTCGACACCAAGACAGACAGACTGACTGACCGTCAGTTGCAATGTGACTCTCTCTCTTAAGGAATCAGTTAAAATTCAGCATCCGCTGAAGACAGTTGAAATATAGCAGCAGTCACGGGAAAAAACCCGAACGCGTGGTTGGAAGATTTTATGTGATAATTTGTGATACTGCTGAGGGTATAAATTGTGTAATTGTGAAGTGTGTAAATGTAAGAGTGAGTGAAATAAAATCGCTATATCCAAGATGGCATGAAGTTACTTGTGGCGTGACAAAACACGTTACATTTGATGTCAGAAGTGGGATTCGAATTGTCAGAATTGTTTACGAACTTAAACACGCCAGTCTAGAACGAACTATTGTGCATCGAGTATTGTACTGCAACAAAATGGAGATGCAGCAGATGATGGAATACCTGCTGAATGAATTGAGGGCCCATAGAAAGGCCAACAAGAAATGGAGGCCAAGAAGAAAGACAAAAAATATTTCATGTCAAAATTAGACGCCAACCAAGAAAAGGCAGACGCCGATAGAAAAGCCTCGCGAGAAAAGATGGCCACAGAATGAGAAGCCATCCAAGCAGAAATGAGAGCTATCCAAGCAAGGAAGGAAGCCATGTGAGAAAAAATGGGCACCAGCCACATAGAGATGGTGTCCGCATTTAAACCCGAGATAAAGGAAGAGACGATGGCCTACTGAGAAACGACGGAGGCGCGTCTAGAAGAAAAGCCGGCCTCAGTGGACAAGAAACCTGCGGCGGCACAACAAGAAGAGGTCCCCATAGTGATACCGGTTGTAGAACCTGAAGAAACAACGGATACCAGAAAAGAGACGATGGCCCGCCAACAGATGGAGGCACGTCTAGAAAAGAAAGAGCTGACCTCAGTGGACAGGAAACCTGAGGTGGCCCAGCAACAAGAAGTCCCCTACGAAAATGCCGTAGAGAAACTGGTCAAAGGACGGAAGAAGCGGTATAGGGGCAAGAAGCAAGCTGCAGGGCGACATGGAGAGCCAGAGGAACCAACCCGAAGAATTTGTGGATCCCGGATGAAGTTGGCTGCCTCCTGCAGGAAGGTGTCCCACCGTGCAACAGTGGCATGGCGCAAGAGGAACATCTTCAGGAAATCTTCGACCCAAAGAAATTGTGGACTGTGGAAAGAAGTAACCGCCACCGGAACGAAGATTACAGAGAACAGATGTTGGAAGTACCCTGAATGCAACACTGGCATAAAGGACACAGGTCTGAAACAGCGACTATGAGTCAGCAAACAATTCAAGGACCCAACCAAGAATGCCATCGGAGGGTGTAGATCACGACAGCGATCGCACCTAGGAGGGAGAAGTACTCGTAAGAAGACCTTCTACGAGATCGTCGGCAGGAAGATCGCGAAGCAAATGGCCAGATCTTCTGTCAGATTATGACAAAACAAGAAGATGACTAGCTGTGCAAATGTGACACAGCACAAGAGACTCAGACACCAGTGGAGTCACGCACAAGCCCGCATAAAGATGTGTCAAAGAAAGCACGGGAAGAACTTGAACATGAGAGGACGACATAAGGACTCGTCCTGAAAGGAAAATTCGAGGCATGTGCAAGTGCACAAGCAGACATGCTGCACGGAGAGCACAGAAGAGGAGCCGGTAAATTAGAAGCACCGGCCTCCCAAGCAAGAGTGAATGTGCGATGGGAGAAAGTGAAGGAGTGAATGTGATACAACTGGATCTTCTGGCAAGTTAACAGGAAACCGCTCGAGACGAGCTGGTCTTAAGAGGGGAGCGGATGTAACGGAAGGAAGATAGTTGCGGCAAGAGGAGTAGCTGAACAAGAAAGAAGCCGTTGCAAGAACAGACTGCAAATAAAAGGAACGGGTATGTACCGTTAGGCTATTCGGGATGAACGACCTTAAGATGGGAGCAGTGTGATGTATTGCACTATGGAGGACAACCCCTCCCCCGCCAGCAGTGACGTAACAACATCAGGCGCTGTCTCTACTACGGTAAGAGGCCAGTCAACATTCTGCCCCCTTCCCCTGGGGTGACGTAGCGGGGGATGCCACAGTTGCTATGCAGCAGTAAACAACTCTCGACAGCCTTCCCAGCAACACCTGTAAACACGGAGACTAGGCAACAAGGAAGCAAGGCATTTTCCTGTTGTCTGGCTGAGGATTTATGAGAGAACTGCACTGGCTAAGGAGTATGCTAAAATGCAGCAGCTGCCGAAGACAGTTGAAATATAGCGGCAGTCGCGGGAAGAGAACCCAAACGTGTGGTTGGAAGATTTGATATGATAATTTGTGATACTGCCAAGGGCAGTAATTGTGTAATTGTGAACTGTGCAAATGTAAGAGCGAGTGGAATAAAATCGCTATATCCAAGAAGGCGTGAAGTTACTTGTCACGTGGCAAAACACGTTACAATATATTTATGTACAATTTTGGCACAAGTGACATAATTTATTACTTCTTATACTTTTACCCAAATATCTGTGTGTGTGTGTGTGTGGGGGGGGGCACACGTGTGCAGGCATAGGTGTATTAATTATTCTTTGTATTACAGTATAGTTTCTAATGTTTCGTTTAGGCACCTGATAATGCATGCAAAATATGCAGTGTGAGATGAACATAAAGCTGTAAATTTTTAACATAGTTTGTGTGACAGCTAATCCCAAAACCTTCTGAAACATATTTTCAGGAGAAAAGGAATGCCAAACCTTCCTTCATTCTTGGAATGCAGCATGTGGCTCTATGGTCAAAAAACTAGACCTGAGATATTTAACGATAACAATAGAAGTAGTACTTCCAGCAAACAGAAAATTATCTAGACTTAAAAGGATTCTGACGATGGTGTATGCTATATAGAACCATGAGTATAAAGCTTATTTTGGACTCTATTCATCGCCTGGTATATATAAGTGATTGAGACTAGCCCTTTGTAATGGGCCCAACTGAGTCGGTTTATCCACCCCATCCACCTGATGACAGAGACAGATCCAGTCTCCGAAACATTGTGGTGTTTTGTCAGACGATGGATAGAGTCCAAAATAAACCTTATAGTTCTATACAGAAAATTATCTGAAAAATGAAACCTGCAGGAAAGAAAATGTATAGTCACATATTATCATATTGAAAAATTACAAATTTTTAACTATTCGATTCTTTAAGGAATATAACACAACATTCCACACCATAATTGCTTTAACATCAAATTAATACTGTTGAAAATGTCTTAATTTTTATGTAACTGGGACTGAGGCCTCAAAACTTACAGTTTAACAAAAACATTTTTTTTGGTCTTTGCATTGTAAAATTATTCTTCTGCATTTGGAGTAGCAATAGATGATGCCATGTAACACAGAATTTTAGCGTGATGAATTCACCATAAGCACTTTATTCTAATACATATATATTCAAAACTTTCATCCTGTTTCAGACAAAAAATAGTAAAGATAGTAAGGATAGAATATTTATACAAGTACAAAAACTATGTTCACTTGGAAAATAAAATCAGATTATTCTATCATCATTAACTCTTACCTCAGCAAGAATTCATGTCCTTGTACTTGGTTTAGAGCTTCAAAAATGTAGTGAATTGTCATTGGAATAATACCAGGGTCATCCTGACTTCCCATCATAGTATGTGTTTTTCCTATAAAATTAAAAATCTACAATTATTTTATGATAATAGAATTATTCTATTATTCTTCAGAAGCTAACAGTCTCTCAGTGTGTCAAGAAATTATCCACCTTTTATGGAACCTTAAGATTCATCAGATTAATTACAATCCCCACAGCCCACCAGTGGATCATATCCTCATCCAGGTGATTGCAATCCACATCCTCACAAATAAGTCTTAACACTGTGACGTATTTGCACTATGCTGGAGGGGGGGGGGCTCCAGTGGTGATGTAACAGCATCGGAGCAACTGCAGCTGCTACGGTAACAGGTCAGTCAATACTCCATCCCCCTACCCCGCTGTGACATACCAGCACTTCCCATTGTGACGTAACAGGGGACACCGTGGTTACTACACAGCAATAAACAACTCTCGGCAGCGTTCCCCAGCA